AAAAAAAAAAAAAAAAAAAAAAAAAAAAAAATTCATTGTAAGTTGAACTTTAGCTCTTTGGCTCATGTGAACCTAAGGCTATTTCTGTTGCCCTTGACTTGCAATTACAACTCCACTTCTAGGCTTGAGGCATCAGCTTTTATGGTTTCCCATTGTAACACATGTCCTTTTCATTTTTAAAGCCTCAGGGTTTCCCTTTGAGTTTGGCTAGGCTTGTACACTTGTGTAGGGTTTAATGCAGCATTTCTGGAGGTTTAAAGGGGTGATGGCTGGGGATGCTTCATGATCTCAGCCTACCCAGCTGTTTTCCATTATCTCTTCAGCTATAACCCAGCAGAGAAGTGGAGAGATGGGGTCAAAAGTTTAGAGTCAAGGGAGGGTAGTAGAAAGGATTGGTGCAATGCAAAGCACCTGAGTTCAGGGGCTTGGAACTAGGTAGCCACAGAAATCATTTGTGCAGAGTAGTAGTAGTAAGTAGTGCTGACCTGGAAGTAATTTGAAGAAGTGGTGCCTGATCGTGGTGGGTAAAACCATAAACATCCTGGGACAGTTGTGGGTTTTAAACATTTTCCTAGGACCAGTCCTTCCAGCAGTATTATTTCCTATCAAGTATATATCACTAAAAATTTAAAAATATCTTTCTTCTTGGAGTCATTTTTTTCTCAAATATTGACTTATCTCTTTTAGGTATGATTTGACAACATACCCAGAAGATTATGCTGCACCCTGTAATTATCAGCCACGTGTGAGTATAAGAACATATTCTAATATCTATGTATTTAAAAATGACTTATTATATTCAGTTTCAATTCAATCTTGGGAAAAAAAGAGAAATTGCTGAGATATATGATGTTTTATATTTATACATATTAGCTGTTTGTGAACATCAATAGAATATTATTATTTAATTTTGGAAATTTATAGATTGTGAGGGGAAAATACTGCAGTGTCCAAACACCAGTCACTTTTTTCCTCATCTTGCTTATTACCCTTCACTTAAAACCTAATCTGTCTGGAAGAACCTACCTGTCTGTTCGTTTGTATTATATGGACAAATACAGGTAAGTGTCTTAGTTTACCTACAGGGAATGTGTATGTTGATTTTTAAAAGTACAGTTTATAATATGAATATATTTGTACTTTGAGAATTATGCAACAAACTCTACATATTTCTTAGAATGTGTGAGGCCATGGGTTTGATAACCAGCATTACCAAAACAAACAACCAATAAGAACAAAAAAAGAATTATGCAAGAGAAATAAAACAAAGCTATTCCTATTAGCCTTACTTTAGAAGACTTACTAGTGGTTTTGGTGATGTAGCTTAGTGGCACCTTGCCTGCCTCATAAGCACAAGGTCCTAAGTTTGTTCCTAGGTACAAAAAAAAAAAAAAAAAAAAATTAAAAGTCTTACCAGTAAATGGACATGGCATAGAAATAAGAGATTTAAGTATTAATAAATGAGAGAAGAAATCATTTTATCATTAGATGTGTGATTACTCAGGAGAACCAAGATATTAAAATGAATAAAATAATGGCATTCCTTCATATCAACACTAACCAGTTACAAAACTGTAAAAGAAAAAACCCATACAAATCATAGCAATGCCAGCTTAAAATATTTTTATAAGGGAAATTTTGCTAAAATCAATAAAACAAAAAATATGTGATAATTTATCTCCCCAAATGGTGGACCTTCCTGTGTGCACAGGTTACTTCCTCGATGAGAAGGGACTGTTCCTGAGTCTATCAGGTCAGTGGTATCATCAATAGAGTGTGGCAGAAGTGACTCTCTGCCAGATGTAAGCCTCACCTTAATTAAGAGGATTCCTTCTTCCTCTTGAAACCCTGAGCAACCATGTGAAAAATCCAGGCTACACTGTTAAGAGAGATGCCATGGGGAAAATTGCTGAGGTGCTTGATTTATGAGCAAGGAAGCCATCATGGATTTCCAACTTGGTTAAGCCTCGCCTGTAACTGCAATTGCCATATGACTGCCACTCATAAGAGAATACAAGAAGATGCTGAAGCTATTGTTTGTTTAAAAAAACCAAAAAGTAATTGAGGCAGAAATCTTCACTAAAAAGGAATGGTTACCACTTTAGGAGAATGGAAAACTAATTATAATTTGAAGTTATCAATATAATATAATTATAGCCAAAACCCTTTTAGGTTTTGTTTTCTATCCAAATTTAATATTCTGAGAATAATTTAAAAGTGCATGTAGATTAGAATAAAAATTTTAAAAAGGTGCAAGCAAAAGATTCATGACATCACCTTTATTATATGTTATATACTAACATTAAGCCATGGAACAAACATAACAGCTTACAGATTGGTATACTTAAAACATACAAAATTCATGCTTACCTGCAGAAAGAATATTAAACACCCTAGAGAAATGAGCAAAGAACACTCATAGGCAATTTACAAGGTAGGAAATGTAATTGACTAATAAATATAGACAAAAGACCAATTTGCAAGCAATGAAAGATGTGAGTTAAAATAATAAGATTGTTTTCTTGTTAATGTTGGAAATACTTTCAGAAATTTATAATAGTGAGATGAAGATGGAGTGAGATGGGTACTTCTATTTGCTGCTGGGCCAGTTGCAAATTCTTTTAATCTTCTTGGAATGGAATTTGATGATATATATTAAGATGCTATTTGACCTAATAATTCTTCTAGGAAAATTTTCCAATGAAAAGCAGCTCAAACTAGGAGTGAAATTTGTGTCCAAATATTCTAGTTACTGAATTACTTATAATGGCGAAAGTTGTAAAGTACCTAAATTTTTAGTTGTAGGAATGTTAATTGTGATAATGTAATGATGTTAAATGTGATAATCATATCATAAAATTTTATACAGCTTTTTAAATGTCCATATATAATGGTTAGTGTCATATAAATCTTAATTGAAGGTTAAAAGAATAACAAGATACAAAATTATGTATATATTTATCTAAATTATGTGAAAACAGAAAGTTTTGAATCTGGAGAAGCTATAATAAAAATGCTAGTTAAGTTACCCATTGAATGTAGAGATTCTAGGTAATTTTCTGCAATTATACTTTTTAGAATTTTCCAATACAACAAGCATTATTGTTTATTATTTAAAAATGCATTTCGTATTTACTTAGGATTTGACTATCTTTGACCAAAAGAAAGTTGTGACACACCTAATTAAAAACTCACAAATTCAAAGGACTAAATATAATGAATGTGAAGAATGTAAAAATGATTAAGATGTAATATGTATAAGTACCGATTCCCAAGATGAATGTCACTATTATAGATTGCAAACATATAAAAACTACAAAATACATATAGTTAACATGTTGTACTGTACATTTAAAAACTGGTTAAGATGGTAAAATTTATGCTTTCCACACAAATAAAGAAAAGACAAAAAATAAAGAATGTCATACATATTCTCAGGGTACATAAATCTTTAGCTATTGTGCTCTATAGTCATGATTTTTATATTTTCAAAATTCTTTCTAATATTTCTGTCATTGCTGGTTTTTGTATGAATTGCACAGCATGCCACAACAGTTGTTTGAATTTATTACAGGGTTTTGCTCATTCACTTCTACCTCCCATGCCAGAGTAACTGGTTTTGAGGCATATTTTCAGCACTGCTTCTAATAACAATGCTTGTGTTAAATTGTTGCAGCATGCAAAAATCATAATAACACTGGATAGTTAAAAACCAGCAGAATAATGATTGAATTCTGATAGTGAATTTGCCATGCATGTACAAAAATATGCAACTCACAAATACTGACAGAGTAAGGAGAATATATGTTGACCTGCTAGGTACTTTACTATGCAGCCTTAGGATAAGTTACTTTCATTATGCATTCTACTTTAAGCATTTGGATTTATATTATTTCAAATGTTCATGAGTTGAAATTTCATTAATTTTTATATTAGTATCTCATATATTTGCCTAATTCATATTTGTATAAAATGAACAGAATTATAGGAAGTAAGTAGAATGTGGGTTACCACTCCATATCTCTAAACATAGGCAAGGAAAGGATTAGGAAGCTATGAAGTCGTTTCCAAGGGAAGGAAATAGAGAAGAACTGCAGGCTACTTCTGAATTCCACTTCTCAGGCTGAATATTTATTGCAGCTCATCTCCATTTCAGTTAAAGACACTTTCTGTCAAAAGCTCCTCTATTTCCAAAGAACCAAACAACAAATTGCAAAGAAGGTACATTAGAGGATTTATCTAAGATTGGCTGTTGGGCATGTGAGTTTTTAGGAGAAGAGGCAAGTGAGCTGAGGATAATGATGGCGAGTTGACTGAACACACTGAGGATGTATAAGAAAAATAATTAGGGACTAGCAAACTCAGGAAGTTGAAGGGTGAAAGGAATGAAAATCTTGATTTAAAAGAGGACAAAATGAAGGTAGGGAAGAGAGTGAGTGAGAGCTAGGAGGTGAAGAGGTCATGCTCAAAGGGGTGTACTGGAATTTATTATTTCAGAAGTAGGACGGTTCTGGAGAAACTAGTGGAATGAGTACAGATCCATTGACTTGACAGTGAAGGAATGGTAAAACAGAGTGTGGGCTAGACACAAAGTGTGGGTGTCAGAAATTCACCTATAAGGAAGCAGGACTGAGGAAGGGGAGAGAGACTTTGGGTGAGATGACCAAGCCCTCAGTAAACTTCAGGAGTACCTGAAGGTCAGTGGCTCTTGGCAGCCTCACATCTACCATTTGGTCAGTATTAAATGGGAAGTACCATTTTGCTTTTATAAATACAGCTGTCTTTTCAGTGGTCTTTCCAAGCATATGAGTGTTTTTAACCAAAAACTTGAAGAACCTCATTCATTCAGAGGTTGAAAGCTAAGGGGATTTTTAATAGATAATTATGTTTTAAAGTTAGCATGCATTCCAAATGGATGCAGTGTAAATCTGACTCAGAATAGTCACTCATAAGCCGTGCATATAGAATAAAATGTGGTTTTTAAAAACACATTTTAACCTGGGAAAGTAAGGCTGAAATTTAGCTAGGTAATAGTCCAGGCACTATGATTTTCTTCATAACTTTTATTTCAGTTCTACTTTTATTTATTTTGGATCTGAACATATCCACTGTTTAATTTTCTTTTTTCCTGTTAGTGTCCTGATTGATTATCTACTAACAAAAAAAATCTGCCATTTGCTGAGTATGCTTGTTTATCTTTCTATATATTGAAATAAAGTGAGTGAGAATTTCAGAATTTGCAAATGAGATAGTGGCATGGGGTGGAATTAGGGAAGAGGGAAGGGGCCATGTGGTTTTTACCAGCTGTCTTGTAATCCACATCAAAGTGTTCCATAATGCTGCTCCTGGAAACAGCCCTCTGTTTCAGAAGGAGGTGGTGGCCTTCTGGAACCTAAGTATTCTTCCTGAAAGACCTCAATACAAATTGTACATATGCATTCTGACCTTGTATGTATACAAGTAGGGATGGCTTTGTATCTTGATAGGTAAATAATTTTGGCGTTGAATCTTGCCCTTCTGCTAGCACATTTCCTAGGCCTTTGTTTCAACCTTGTGGATCTGCTGATGGTGTCTATGTATTTTTATATGGATTCCATGGACTTCCCCATTTGACTGGAGTACAATAGGGTTTTCCTTACAGGGTGTAATGTGTGGTTGTTAAATGAGTAGAAGGGAGGGAGGATGGAAGGGATGGAGAGGAGGAGAACAGGAAAGAAAAACAGGAAAGGGGGAGAGAGAGGGAAG